CAGTCTGCATGAGACAGAAACAAGTGCATTATAAAAAGGGCTCACATTGCTTTTACTGAACCAGAGCTGCACTTGAGCATGAGCTCTCTGGTGGTCCCATGTGGGTAGAAGTTCTGAGCTTGTGATGTGTGGGAGATGAGACTGACAGAAAGAACTAGACACATGATGTGGAAAGTGCAAGATTCTCAGAGCTAAGAAACTAAGGAGGCAGCAGAAGAATGGTTTGAGGCGGGGTTTCTGGAGCTGCGAGGAAGGAGATCATTCGCTGATAGACCAGGAGAGGTTTGGAAGCCACTTGGAAAAGATGGAGAAGTTTGGAGTGAAGGTGGGGCGCTGTTGAAGCAGATGGAAAGAGACAGACTGCCTCGGCATTCAGGTGGAAAATCATCACTGCAGACATTTATAAAACACCCATCCACACCGGGTGCTGTTCCAAGAGTTCATTGATTAAGAGAGAATATTTCAAATTTAGAACCCAGGAGTGGACCAGACAGGACAGTGCAGACCAAGAATGTAGGATTGCAGCTGGAAGTATCAGTAACACCATTCTAAAGAACTGGCCTGTAAGATGGGCTTACCCATGTAAATCTGGAGACTGTGCACCTGGAACCTGGTTCCCTGTGCGGGGTTTGGGCTTTGAGGCCAGCGAGAGCCCGCCCTGCTCATGTGTTCCCTACTGCTCGGTGGCATCAGGTGGGCGGTTTGGGATGGGCCATGGTATGAGTATTTACATCACGGGGATCAGCAAATGCTACAGATCGGAGCTGCTCCCCTTCCCCGCCTCGAGAGACATTTGCCAGCACATCAACCTAGAACTATGATAATTTATGGGGTGCTCCCTAACCTATCTAATGAAGCCATCCAACAAGCTTTGATGCAGTAGCTACTTCGTCTAAGCTGCTGACTCTAAGGTATCATGTAAGGTGCTAGGGATACAGCAGTGAGCAAGAGACGCAGACCCTGTCCTCTGGAGCTAACAGTATAGCGAGGGAAACAGAAATAAGGTTGACCCAAATGCTAACTCAGTTAATTCAATGGTGAGTAATGCCGCAAACGAGACAGGCGGGTCCGGAAGCCACCTCACCCTCTACCCCTGACCAGCAGCTCCACTCTCTGGGTTCCTAATGGAAAGGCAAAGCGCCACTGCCCTCACTGTCTTCTTACTGCTCATGCCTCCAGCCCAGCTTTTCCTTATCAATAATGGGCAACAACGTCAGCACCTCCACGTCCCTGGTTCTCAGAGGTTCAGCAGAGCAGTCTTTGGAAAGCCAGCCTCCTCCCCCACCAGCACCTGGCCAGGCCTAGCTCCTGCCCCTCTCCTGCTCCTCAGGACACCATGGTTTCCATGGGAACCCACTCACTTCAAAGAGGAATGAAGGAGACTGGAGGGGAGGAGGGGGAGGGAAAGCTGGATTAACCTCACCCTTTTGGCCCTGCCTCTGCGCTGCCAGCAACCTAATCCCCCGATTTAGGCAGCACCTAACATCGAACCCATCACCAGCATGGGCAGATGGGCACTGTGGTTCAAGCTAAGCTTGAACTTCTTTGAGAGAAAACCTCAGGGTTGAGGTGGGGGCTGGGGGAGGAGAGAACTGAGGTTTGGGAGGTTCAAACCTGTGGTCCCTCACTCCACTGGCCTCCCCTCTTTGGACCCCCTCTCAGTGCTGCTCCTGGGCCACAAACACAATTACCCGCGATGTGTATCCAATCATGGGATCTGCTCGGATTAGACTGCAATCATTAATCTGAGCGGGAGCCCCTGGTTGCTTTGCTGATTAGTCCAGATGATGCTCTGGTATGATCCAATTAAAGACAGACGCTGCCCTCCGTCCCCCACCCCACAGTTTCCACATCAGAAGGGAACTAGTACATTTCATTAACACATCCTCATACACAAATAAAACCTCCCGGGCACTGGCAGGCTCCCTCCCCTTTGTCACACTGTCCCTCTGCCACCCAGCAGGGCCCTAGGCAGGGAGGGGCCACCCTCACTCTTCCTTCATCTGTGGTTCTAGGAGGGGCCATGATGGGGGCTCCCAAAAGCCAGTGTGGGGCACTCATCTGAATGGAAAGGGTCTGGTTACATTTATTGACATGAAATGCCGACTCCCCGATGTGCTTTGGAGCAGCCAGGCTGCCCCAGGCAGGCAAATCTAATTAAAATTACCTGACCCTACAGGAGGCTGAGCTCCCTCCCCGGTCATCCTGGGGCAATGGCTGCAGAGAGGGCGGCTGGTACTAATGGGAGAGGTGTGGTTGTAGGAGACAATCCTGGGGCTGCCAGGCCAGGAGGCAGCAGCAGGACTGGAGAGATGGGAAGCCAGCATGCTGCTGCTGTCAGTTCGGTGTCCTGAGGTGCTGGGGCAGCCACGTTTGCCTGGGATTCCCTCTTCCACGTGAGACAGCTGCAGACATACTTTGGGCAAACACCAAGGGTTGCAGGTGGTCAGCCCCGTGGGAGAAGATAAAGCCCAGGAGGGAAGGGGAGTAGGAAGAAGTGTTAATTGCAGAAAGGTCTAGGCCATATTTCAAGTGACATTCATGTGATGGCTCCCATGGGAGCGGTGACCCACCTCTCCTGCAGGTTGGCCTGGGTAGGGTACGTGCCTGGTATTGTGAGAAGGGCTTTGGAACCCATGGTTCCCATTGGTGAGGACCTAATAAACCCATCTGTTTGGTGCCAGACGCAGGGCCAGGTGCCTCCATGGGCCATCTCTTTGATTCTTATCAAGTCTAAGTCTGCTGCTTAGGTTCCATCGGGACACGAAAGCTCGGAGAGGCTAGGACACGGCGGAGGTGGGACTGAAACCTAGGTTTCTAAAAACTGTTTGTTACACCACTCATCTGGGGGTCTTTCTCGACGACGATCTATGCTCACTACAGGCCCCTGTCCCAGGGGTCTGAGCAGCTGCGAGGTGAGTCTTCAGTATGCGTAGGAATCCCCTGGGATCTTGTGAAAATTCAGATTGTGAGTCTTTAGGCCTGAGTGAGCCTTGAGAGCCTGCATTTCTAATCTGCTCCCAGGTGATGTGATGCTGCGAGTCCACAGGCCATACTTTGAGTAGCAATGCTCCAAACAGAGTATGACAAGCATATGTCATCAGGCTGTCGGGCGGTTTTCAGAGGCCATGTTACTCCCTTCCCTCCTTATGCTCCCCACAAAAGCACAAGCCCACCGCACCTTGCCCGGGTTAATTACAGGTGGCTGTGCAGTCTCACCTCTCCACTCCCAGCTTCTCTGGCCACTGGCTATTCCTGAAAGGTCCTCTCCCACCCCATTTCTCCACCTAGTGGGGTCTCTTACTCAACCTTTAGGACCAAACTCAAATATTGCCTTCTCTGTGAAGCGTTCCCTGTTGCTCTGACCACATAGCTCTAGTTTCTTGTTTGCACATGAGATGGTGCCTGGAGAGACGGAGGGAAGAGCCTGTACCTTGGCCCTCCTTCTGCTGGAGTCTAGCACAGCCCGCACATAGGAATAGTAAGGATTCAATAAGAGAGTGTAAAGAGGGAAAGGCCGAGGGAAGGAGGCCCATCCCACACTGGGGTGGCTAGCTTGACCTTTCTTACAGTCTCCCTGACAGGTACCATGACCGGGTCCTGGAGTTCTTTGGGGCCCAAGCCAGAGCTCTCCACAGGCAGGCAGCCGGGCCTGGCCTATGTGTTTCGCAGGTCAGGGCACGGGTGCTGTGTTTTGTCCCTCTGCTAGGCCCAGGAGGCCCCCAGTGCCAGGATCCGTGATCAGAGGCCACTGCTCTGGACTCCCAACTGTTGGTATTAGAGGCATTTGGCTTATCTGAGGAACTAAAAATAATGCCGATGAGAATGAGAATAACAGCCCTAATTACCACCATTACCATAGAGGCGCTGTCACTGGGGTGGTGGGGGAGGAGTCAGAAAGAAATAAATCTTCCTATTCATTAGTCTTGGGTGAATCATTCCACGTGTTACTGGCATTCGCACCTGCTGCAGTGTGTGCCCAGCCAGAGGCGAGCCATGCTTGCTGATGCATGTGAACATATAAGCTCCCACAAGGGAATGTGAGCAAGGGTCCAGCCTCAATACTGAGTGCAGACTTGGGCACCTTAGTCCCCACCTTGGGTTATCATATTCTTAGTGGATATGATAACCAAAGTCCCTGTAGGAACCTCATTCAGGCCTGTTCTCAGGTGACAGCATCTTCCTCCCCAACTATGTACGAGAACGGGAGTTCATCAAGGAGAGAAGCATTTCCCTGAGCCCCATCCCACCTTCTGCAACATTCAGGACTCAGCCCTGGATGCGTGGGGCAGATGCAGAACAAGACGAAACAAGCTGCCTGTCCTCAGCAAACTCCCCATCTTGGGGAAAAGTGCCAGAACCTACAATCACACCCAATACCTATTCTTTAAAAACAAAGACTACCATGGATCCAAGTGTGGTCCAATAACCAGCCACATCAGATTCACCTGGAATGCTTTTAAAGAATGCATATCCCTCTTCCTATAGCTCGATCTACTGATTTGGCATCTTCGAGGATGGAGCCCAGAACCACGTGTTTTAACAAGCTCTCCCTGTGATTTTCATGCCTCCTAAAGTTTGTAGACTGCCAAGTCCTAGAGGGTGCGGTCAGAGGTCTGCCAAGCTCTGGCGGGCTTGATGGAGGGAAAGCAACAATGGGGCACAGGGCGAGGACAGGGTCCTGAAGCAGCTGCCTGTTTGACTGAGCAGAGGGTTTCTGATACCCATTAGGGGTCATCTGCCTGCTTGAGATAGGAAGTGCTGCTCTTGGAAGATGCTGCCTAGGCCTCCATATCCCTCCCTAGACATTTCCAGAAAGCTAGAGTCACTGTGGCCAGCTGAGGGGTTTCTAGATTGACTAGAGAGAGAAGGAGGCCGAGGGAGAATAGCTATTGGCCGTCATCTCTGTCAAGCCCACCCTTTTGCCTGCATTCTCACTCACAGATGAGCTGGGCCTGAAGCTGGTTGAGGGCTGTAGACACAGCTGAAGTGTCTCCTACCTGTACACAGCTCGCTTGTCAGCCTCCAGCTGGGCCTGGGGGTCGATGGGGGCACTGGGTACAGGTGTGCTGGCAGCAGCTGAGGGGGCAGAGATGTGGACAGCCTGGGCCTTGGAGGGTGGCTGGGTGGTTGCCGTCATCTGCAGAGAGAAGAAAGGGGAGATGGTGGGTTAGCATGGCCAAGGTACTGGTCTCCAGGCTGTAGTGTGAGGTCTGCCTTGGCCTGCGCTGTGCCCGGAAGAGAGCATGTGGGCAAGAGAACTGTGAGCACACAATGAGCATCCATTCGTACGTGTGCTACAGTGGGGAGAAAAGCTGGCTTTCTTCAAATGAGCATGTTCTAGAAAACAACTTCAGCCATCCAAAACCAGGAGATGCCCAGCACACTCTGAAAAGAGATGACTCTTAATGCAAATATGGTAACCCTTGCCCAGAAGGAGAAAAAAACAATAGGATGAACCCTTTAAATTGTGCTTATGAGTCGTCTGGACCATCATACAGTTGATTTGATGACTTTGAAAAGCAGGAATAAAGGAGCTGAATCAGCTGTCATTTGGACACAGGTTTATTTATTCCCTTTATTGCAAGCCACAGGCAATGGTCCCAGCGGTTTTGACTGAATGGCTCTCCAAATTTGGTTTACCTGGCCACTTCAAGACCAGCAGTCTTTAGTGGGCAATGGACAGATTCTTGTTCTTGGCCATAACAAATATTTAGGGCAGGGGTTTTCATAATCTGTGACATGTTTATGAAGGTGTCCCGAGGTCGGCAATTTTGTACCAACCAGAGCAACTCCTTTTAATACTATCTATTAGATTTTCTATCTAAGGTTTTATTTAAAGAAATGGTTCAATGATTTAATTTTTTTAAAAAAACCATCATTATGGAGTTTCATGCTTTTTTATTTCCTTCAGTCAAAGAAATGTCTACAAGTGTGAATGATGATAAGCCTCAACTGATCTCTTATACCACCCTGTCCATAGTACGATGGTAGCTCTCTCCACATGTGGTGTTGGGCTTCATGTACTTATCTGTCTTCTCCTCTGAGGCCTTGTTCCCTCCTTCATAGATAGCTTCCAACTGACACATACTTAGTAAAAAGGTTTGATGCTTATTAAAAATACTTGCGGAGAAAATGAGTGAGTAAATAAATGAATGAACGTGCCTTGAAAGAATCAGATATTTTATAGTTGCAAAGTTCATCATATGAATCTAGGTCCCTGCTTTCTGGAAGAAAAAGTATTATACTTCTGTGAATACAAGCATTGCTGGTGCATATATCCCCAAGACATTTGCATGTCTTCATTTAGATCTCTTCATTTAGATCTCCGCTCAGATGCCACCTCTTTGGAGTATCATACAGCCCCTCCGCCTTTTGCTTTATTTTTCTTCATAGCCCTTACCATGACCATATTCTATATTTATGTGCTTATTGATTTTCTCTTCACTCCCAGCTAAAACGTAAACTCATGGAGTGATTGTAACAGTTGAATTCGTAGGGCCCAGAATAGCCTGGCACTAGTAGGTGTTCAATAAATATTTGTTGAATCAATGAATAGATGAATGATGGATGGTGAATGAGATTGAGACTGTAAAAGAAATGTACCTGCTTTCCTAGATTGCATCATTGTTTATTAGGCAGAAATACCCTTGCCACTGTCGGCTGATCTGGGGGAGCCTTTCCAATCTCAGTGGGTAAGAGGCTAGACATAGCATCATGGTGCCTGGAAGCCAGAAGACAATTGTTTGAATCCTACCATCTCCCCCTATTAGCCTTTGACCCTGGGCAAATTCTTTAACTTTCCTAAGCTCCTATTTTCTCATCAGTAAGAAAATTGGTGACCTTTTGGAATTCATGAGTATTAAGGAGGTGCTGTAAGAAAGAAAGTAGAAGCAAATGCTGTTCCAATTTTCAAAATAGAGAAAGAAAGTGAATTCTGAAAAAGCTAAAACCCAGTCATCTTCACACTTATCTGGGCCAGATTCATCCCTTCATTCACTAACGCAACTGATCACTTCTTCAAATACTTCTTGAGTCCCTGCCATGTACCAGGCACCATGCTGGGCACTGGGATCACAAAGATGAGAGACTGCTATCAGAAAGCTCAGTTCGTGGATCTGACATGATCATTAAGCTTGCAGATCAGGAAAACATGGTGTAAGCGACCTCAGCAAGGTATTTCCCATGATAGCCTGGCAGAAAACGTGGAGAGACGCAGCCTGGTGGACAATTGCATGGATTAGCAAACTACACCCAAGGGATGACAATTAAAGGATAGATATCAGTTTGGGGCAGGTTTCCAAAAGAGTGTCACATGCTTCCTCCTTATCCTCTTATTCAGCACTTTAATCAGTGATTTAGAGAACGTCTAAAAAAATGCTCAACAAATTTACGAATGCCATGAAACTGGGATCCAAAAGATCTTTACAGATTTTGGCAAGGGGCTAAATCTGATAAGATTAGTCTTCATCTAATAAGTTAAACTTTAACACTTCTAACATTTGGGCCAAGAAAAACCAATATTGAAGTGCAGGGAGGGAGAGACATGGCTTAATAGCCGTGTTTTAGTTGACAGCTGGCTCAGTGTATCAAAAGTGTAATGTGTCTGTCAAAAAAATCCAACCTAAACTAATGCTAGCTGAGGATGCATTAACAGAGGCATTGCTCACAGCATGCAGAAACTTCTGGTCTTGCACTACTCTGATTAAACAAGTACATGAAAATACATTCAAAGCAGAGTCGGCCAGGATGGTAAAGGGGTTCGGTACTTCGTTGTATGAGGAATATTTGAAGGACCCTGGAATATATAAGCAAGATTTGGAGGATGGGGGAGAAGAGGCGACATGAAAGCCCCCTTTGAATATCTGAATGAGGGGATTTGATTATATCAGTTCTGTATGACTCGAAGGGCCGAACTACAAGCAATGCATTTGATCTATAACAGGGAGACAACCTAAATAATACTTTTCCAATCCCCCAACTCTTTAAGGCTGGAATGGGCTGCTTCCCTTTCCAGGTGAATTTCCTGCCACTGCAGAGGCCAAGTAGAGTCGGACTGACCAGCTGGGCCACTGTGGAGAAGATGGGAGCTTCAGCTGGGTGGCTGGGTTACATGATAGCTGAAGTCCCCTCCAACTCCAACAGGCTCAGACACCATGAGGGTGTTTTAATAATCACCACCCACCACACAGTGCTGGTGTGAGGCTCGGATTTGACGATGTGTAGTATGTAAAAGTGCTTTGGAAACTCTAGAGTGCTTCACAGATGGAGGAGAGGTTGTTATTATTAAACATGAGATTTCCGGAATGTACTTCTGCCATAAAGCAAGGCATAGCTACATCTGCACAGCTCGTTTGAGGGTGACATGTAGGGGGAAGAGTGTGCTCTGCTCTGCCCACTAGGAGTGAGTTTCCTCATGTCCTTGAAGGAATCCACAAACGGCTTCTGTTAGCTGAGCTCCTGGGATGAAGAGGGATGAAGCAGGATGAAGTCCCCCTCCTAGGCAGGAGTTCGGGGAAAGGTGGGTGGGGAAGGCCCTGGTGGGTGAAAGAGGAAACCTCAGAATAAAACGTAAATCAAAAGCGGTCACTTGCCAGTGTCCTAAGAGGCCCCAGCTGAGAGGCTGTGACTGGCAGAAGTATGGAAAGAAGACAGCAGAGCTGGTCTGAGGAGGACGATGACTCAAATTTATATAGCTCATGGGGGCCAAGTCAGCAAACTGTGCATTTCCTGCAGGTTTGGAGAATGAGTGTTTATCCCCAAATAGGTTTCTTTTTCTAGCCAGAGATATCCACTTCCCAAGAATTGGAGCTCAAAGGGAGAGGACCTGCAGCTGTCCACAGGGCTTGGGGGCCAGGAGGATGGGAATAACTTGAATTTTTTGGGGGGAATTTACTGGGCAGCACAGTCTAAAAAGTAGGCTCAGGTGTGAACCAGGCGCAGGCTGTGGCTATTAAGCAGTGGGCTGAAACTGCCTTGTTCTGGCCTGTGAAAGCCAATTGTTAAATCTTCAGAAATTTTGCAAATTGGTTGACATCACATTGGGAGCTTGAAATTGGCCATGGTGGGAGCATTTACACCATGGAAATTGGCAAATGCTGCAAATCAGGGCTTGCCCCAGCGCTCCCCACCCCTACTCTCAGAGAGCAAGTTGTTAAATATTTACTAGCACATCTCTAATTTCAGTTTTTCCCCAAGTAGCTTTCTTCCATTCTTTTTGGTCTGGCATGGGAAGAAACTCATCTTATCCACTGCAGGAGGCCACTTGGTGCATTCACAGCTGGTCTCAGAACTGGCCACTCCAGATTTGGAGCTTTTCTCCAAGGAGCCCTCAGAGCACTCTGGAGACCCTGCCCTGGCAGCCCGCTAGGGAAAGGGACAGGTAGGCATCAGTGCAGGCATGGAGGACTGTCCCTTTTCAACCAGGGGAAGCTCAGGCAACGTTGAACAATGTCCTGAGAACTGCCTGGGAGATCAGAAAAGCCTCAGAGAATGGAAAGAGCAGAGGATGCGGCCCTGGGTTTGATGCTCCTCTGCCAATTATTAGCTACATGTTTTGGGACAAGTTTCCTGATCTCTTTGGTTTCCTAATCTGTAAAATGCAGGAGATAATACTCACTCTGCAGGTTGTGCTGATTAATCAAGAGAACCAGACAATGGTTACTGGTGGGGCAGGAGGCAGCATTCCCTGTGGAGGCCCCTATCAGATGTGACACTGTGCCAGCACCTACACACATGCTAATAAAATATTTCTGGAGTGGGTGCAGTGGCTCACACCTGCAATCCCAGTGCTTTGGGAGGCTGAAGTGGGTTCTGTGCTTCCCATGTCCTCTCTTGGCCTAGAGTTCTTTCTTGGGGCAAATACCCTGGGGCCATCACCTCCATGCACTTCCCTCCTGTAGATGCTATAACCACTGGACTTCTCTCTGCCATCTAGCCAGAACCAGTTCTGCCTTAAGCTTGCAGCTAAGGAAACCCTGATTCTTGGTTTGAATCAGATTCTTGGTTTGAAGGTTCTTTCTTTTCCCATTCTAAAAAGGAGTGGGAAGAGTTGGGAGTTTTCAGATGTATATGCAGGTGTGTAAAATCTGGGTGGGGCTGAGAGATCCAGCCACGCTGGCAGTCTGGTCTTCTACTCAT